AATGTGGTATTAGTAGTTACTAAAAGTAGTTTACTAAAGTACCTCAATATTTCTTCTAGTAATTACTTTGTCTTAGCTCTAAACAATTTCTCTTTTCCTTCTTTCCCTAAATCAGACCAGACCCCTGTACTGCAGAATAAAGCTGAATGTCTCATGATCAAATGTCTCTTGAATGTGAATATAAGTCTAAATTTAAACAGTATTATATAGAGCGGTCGCCGATCGTGTCTCTTTAGGGCACTTGGAGGAAACCACGCAATTCATATGGATTACTTTGGCGATGTTTTTTTGCGATTTCAACTTTTTGAAACGTGAACATCTTTGGTGAATCTTCTTTCATCGGAGGGACATAAATCTCTCAGATTTTTATTAAAATATCTCAGCTTTTCTTTTGAAGATGAACGAAAGTCTTAGATGGTTTGGAGCATCTTAAGGGTGAGTGATGACAGAATTCAAATTGTTTTGGGGGAACTATGAAATTAATTAGAAAATATAGCGGTATGTTCTTATTTTTACCAGCTTCTGCAAGCGTGTATGGCGTCTGGCTTTTGGAACCTCACTGTGACTTCAGGTAAGATTTAATTAACGTTATTTGTCTGTGCCAGTCGTGTTTTTGACACATGCATTGGCAGAAAAAAATAAATAAAATAAAATTAGTCATTATAACATGTACAACATTAACATTCTTTTATTTGCAAAATGAAGTTGTGTATTTATTTATTTCTGATTTCCTGAACAATTTGGCTTCATTGTAATGAGGTTAATGATCTTTGAAAAACCATGATTATGAACATACAATTACTTTGTCTTGAGCTGATTAGCCAACTGTGGTAGTGTTCGTTGATTGGTGTTTATATTTGTTCAAGCTTGACAACCTTATCGCCTTTATTTTCTAATATATATTTCTCATTACAGATAAGAACAAAGATTAAATTGTAAGAAGGGTTGCTTATATGAGAGCATACAGTACATCTGAAACTGCTGAGGCTGGGAAGGTTTTTGAGGTACATTGTTCTCAGCGTACTGTCATTCTTAAAAAGAAAACAAATCATCAATCATCATTTGCTTTTTTGTGTGTGTGTGTGTGAAATATTAACATTTGTTGTTTTTCAGATCAGCTGCTATAGAAGACAAACTGAAATCTGAGTGCAGAGACAAGCAAAGGAATAGTAAGTATATTTTCATGTTGTATCACCTCTGTTATAGAGATTTTTGAATCAGGCCTAATGGAGGGTGATTTGGTCAATCTTGGAAGAAAAACGTTAGCAATGTGTCCATTCCAGCTGGCTAATTTGTGCTTTCTTTCAGTCATTTGTGTAAAAATCTGTTATTTAATTTTGTTTCTGTTTTGTTTTTTTCTAAAGCTGCAAGGCTCTGGTGCAAAATATTGTATGCCAGGAGTCAGGACGACTAGGCTGTGCCCAGGTCTCCGGAACCTGCGACGACGCTCAGCTCCATCAGCCCTCCATCTGCGCCTTCGGATCCACCAGCTCGGTCTCCGTCGGTCGGCCCCCAGATGTTGGCAGCCACACCATCTACATTTTGGCTCCTCGCTCCCTCGATTCCGCCGTGTGTTGTCAGCACTGGGATGCTCTGGGTCTGTGCCATGTGCCAAACACCATCTAAGCTGCCAGGGCATCATCGTCATCCTCCCATACTTGACTTGACTTGACATCCTGCCATCATCCCCGCACTTTTGCCTCTCACCATCCCTACGCCATCTCCTTGTCCACCTCCAAAACCCCCTCCATCCCTCCCTATTCTGTTGCTTGAACTTTATCATCTTCAGTCTTTGCACACACACAGCTATTCACTTATGCACTTTGTTTTTCAGTCTTTTTTATGTATTTTTTTTCTTCAGAAAATTGCATTGTAATTTTTATTTATTCATTGATGTAAAATTCTGTACTTTTTAGTAAGGCCGGTATAACTGAAATGTTCTGAAAAGATACTGAAAAGATAGCTCTGCCATAGCATTTCAGTCTTTTTTTATTTATGTTTTTTTTATAATGTATTAAAATGTACTTGAGTATGTTTGTAGTAATACAAATATACTATAAACATACTTGTATTTCAAGTGCATTTTTAATACATTTAATAGTATGTTTTGTTTTGTTTTTCACCGAAGTATATATGCTGCTGTCCTTTTTTAGTGTACTTTATGAATATTTGTAATGTACACAATAATACATTAAAGTTTTCTAGATATCAAAGTGTGTACGTGTGTGTATATACTGAAAAAAGCAGCTTTATAATATACTAGTAGTGTAATGCTAATGCATTTCCAATGAGCTGAAATACAATTGAAATGTACTTGAAGTACATTAAAACGATGCTTCAAATATACTCTTAACTGTAGTTCATGAAGTGTTAAAAGGACATTTTAAATGTATTTTAAGAATTACACTTAAATTGCACTAAATATACTTAAAGTGGTTCCATTTTAACACAATTTCAATATATTAAATATATTACAAATAGATTAAAATCCAACTTAAACATATCTTGAAATACACTTAATATACTTAAAGTTGTTTCAAAATAATACATTTAATATGCACTTAGTATAGTATAATTTAAATATAGTAAGTATGTCTGAAAAAGCACAATTTAAATATATTTCTTTTTCACCTGGGTGAGCATGCCTGGAACTGCTTAATGAGAAGCAAATGAGGCTGAGTTCGACCTTGAGCTGACATCCCTGCCAGAACTGCACACCACAGCCAAGCCTCTCTGTATTTGCACCAGTATGGCAAGGAACTGGGAAATAATGAAATCATACAGCCATCTGCCCAGGATCCGTCCTAATACTGCTGCAGATTAATAAACAACCAATCCAAATATTGGATTTGTGAAAAACTGATCAAGATGAGAAGATGATTAGTCTGTCCAGAAAGTTTGATCAAATGGAAATGGGCTCAACAGCAAAACAAACAACAGAAAAGTCCAAGATTGCCAATCATGCTTATGAAATAAAATAAGACCACGTCATATTAGCACATTTCTCCCCCATTAACAAACATACACACTCACAAACACTCGCAAACAGGATGTAGAAATAAATCTGAATATATTTATATAGAGGAATATACAGTATTATGAATATATTAATAAGTAGAATTAAAATGACATTCAAAGAAATTCATATGTAAATTTATTCTATGAACAAAAAACACTTTGCTGTTGAATATTGCTGTGATAAAGCCTGTTTTGAAAGTTTTGAAAAAAGTAGATAGATAGATAGATAGATAGATAGAGAATTCTTTAGAACGATAGATAGAACGATAGAACAATAGATAGATAGATAGATAGATAGATAGAACGATAGAACAATAGATAGATAGATAGATAGATAGATAATTCTTTAGAACAATAGATAGAACGATAGAATGATAGAAAGATAGAACGATAGATAGATAGATAGATAGAACGATAGATAGATAGATAGATAGATAGATAGATAGATAGATAGATAGAGAATTCTTTAGAACGATAGACAGAACGATAGAATGATAGAAAGATAGAACGATAGATAGATAGATAGATAGAACGATAGATAGATAGATAGATAGATAAATAGAGAATTCTTTAGAACGATAGAATGATAGAAAGATAGAACGATAAGATAGATAGATAGATAGATAGATAGATAGATAGAAATTCAGAATTTTGCACAACGCTGCAACAGCACTGTAGTACCTGGGATGCTGGGAAAGACTGGAGCTGATGAGAGCAGATACATCAGCGCTGAAATGTGTGAAACACAGAGTGGGATGCGTGCCAGCTCGCCCGTCGTTAATGCACCCCCAAATACACCCCTTTGTATGTTCACATGGGCAGCCAAAAGCACCATGTGTTTTCTGTGTTGGCAAGGGCTCTCACGTGTGGGGGTTATGGAGGTGTTATCATACTGCATCGCTAACATTTGGTGATAGTGGGGTATCTTTCCTCTGTGGGCCTGCAATTACTACTGTTCCTCCCGCTGCTATTTAAAGGCTATAAGATTCACTACAGCACCACACTGTGAGGCTAAAGAACCAAACAGACAGAGGTAACATGGTAGGCAGCAGGCGATGAGGGTGAGAAACGTGGAAGATCACAGCCAGCGCTCGGCACAATAAAGAAAGAGACCTCATGTGAGGGCTCAAAATAATCATCACGCAGATGTTCCTGTACGCAACCTCCTGTGTTAGTAACAGGACCTAATGGTCAAAGCGTAAGGATGTGAAGCTTCTCAAAAACATAACACGCAGGAAGCAGCACTAGGAGATGGAGGAGGGGGAAAGGAGGTGGAATGAGGCAGAAGAGGAAGCTGACTCAACATTGCCTGGAAACAAGGTCTTATTGCTCATTTGATTAAAAAAAATAGCAACTTAAAATCTAACACTATTAGCCCTAAATGTATACATGGCTGCCATAAAAATGGCATTGTGATACCAGGCACAGGTGTTGACAGAAGTTGTCTCTGAATATTAAATGAAGGCCGGGATTATCTTCAATTTAATTTGGAAATTGGTGGATAATGAAAACATTTAAACAACAGAAGTTGAATCAATGATGGTGTTATACAGCCACTATTGTGAAGACCATAAACATGCATCAAACAAGGTAAAGATCACGTTAAGTTGCAGATTGAGTACACACAGCTGGCAGATGTATAGTACATGTAGTGAAGTTAAAGTCATAAGTTCCCAGAAAAAATAATACTCAAGTAAAGTACAGATACTCAAAAAGTGTACTTAAGTACAATACTCAGTAAATGTACTTAGTTACAGTCCGGCTCTGACTGTATGTGTGGGAGTGTGTGTGCTAGAGCATGCGAGTACCTTCCCATGAAATTATAAATATTTTCAGGGATTCTGACACGCATTCCAAAAGCAAACGTGACAAGAGCCCTTTTAAAAAAATAATGATTAAATGCCATGGCCTGTTGAGTTTTATGGCTCTGGGGGCTCAGATAATGTGGTGATTGATTTAAATCATAACCGTTTATGATTAAACTATATTTTCATGACTATTAAATTGGACAAAAATAAAACACAGCAATGTAATTATATATAGCACATTTGCCAATTTATCAAACCACAAATAAATAAATAAACCAACGCACAATGGCTCGTAGCCTAGGCTCTGTGCTATTGTTTTCAAATGTTGGGCCAAAAGTGTCTGTTTTGAAAAGGGAATAAAAAATTGCCCCTTTTCCTATAGCAAATAATAAAATGCACCTAACTATATAGTTGTGCATTGTTAGGGGAGGGAAAATAATTAGGCTTATCCATAGCCGCGGGAACGTATTTTGAGCTGGGGGGGGGCTGAGTCAAATCAGCTGTGTCCAAACACAATGAGTAAGACCTCGGTGGTTTCTCAAGAAATTCAATATTTTGTTAGTCCTCGACCCGTTCTATAGGCTAATATGTAATGCAAACCACATCAAAACACATTACACTTAAACAGCCTCTGACCAAATCGCTTACACTCACTGCTTCCATGTCAATGCGTACAGATGTACCCACGTTCACATCACACAGCCGCACAGTCAGTGCAGACAAACACAATGACACACACAGCTGTCTGGAGGCTGCAGATAAGAGAGGCAAGCTGTGAGGAGATGGGAATGTGAAGGGAATGGTAGGGGGAAGGGGTTGAGGAGGGAGGGCCTGAAGGATGAGAACGATCAGCTGTGAAAAGGCCAGACAGGTCCTCACAGCATTGTGGATGACTCTCACACTAAACTATTGTGGCTAATTAAATAGCTCCTTCATAAAAGCGCTAATGACTAAGATGGAATGACTCTTTCCTATTGTTTCCACTTCAGTGAGTTGTATATCCTGCCGCAGGCCTCGCAATCCAACTGTAATTTGTGCAATAGATAGATTATTGAGATATACCATGGCCGGCAACAATAGTGCTGATAAACTAAATAATTCCCAGGCAATCCTTGAACGCAGGGACTGGCAAGAACATCGGAGGGTCAGTATAGACGGAACACCCCTTTCATTTCCCTAACGAGGCCACAATAGGGAAAGAGGCAAGGCCTTCTCAGCATTGTGTTCCCTGTGCGGTTCTCTGGGACATTGCAACCCTAATATGTACACACAGGATGTGGGACAAGTGACAGAAAGGTAGAGCCGAGAGAGCAGGTCAGGTGATTTTGGGAATTAGCTAAGAAGAAGGAATCACACTGTGGAGATTTAGCATCTGATTATGCAAATCAGTTAATGGCGCGAATTTCTGATCTTGCAGGTCAGTCACACTTTTAGGAAGACTGCACTCAGGTTTACATTTTAAAAGTTCAAGTCTGAAGCGAACCTGCCATTGCTAGCACCACACGCTACTGTTTGAGGTACAGAAACATACAACTGTGATCAAATGGACTTCAAATGGATTTTTAATTGAAAACAAATGTTAAAAGTTTACTGTCTGCTTTCCACACTTTACTGTTCAAACGTTTTGAGGTCTAATTTATTTATAAAGCCGAGAGAATATCTGAAATTGAATATCTGTAATGAACATATTGATTTAATTTTAATGCCTTGTTTTACTGTGCTGCAAATATCTAGTGAGTAAGATGCTGTTTTTTCCACTAAAATAACATGCTCAAAGTGTCAGCCGTGAATAGTACAGTCAAGAACATCTATGTCTAAATGCAT